GCTGGGGTGCAAGTCACTCCTACGTCCTACACGCAAGGCACTCCTACTCCTAACGCAAACACTCTGAGGCTGGAGCGGCACAGGCCCTACCCCTACACACTCAAAACCCTTCTCTTCACAGCGTGTGTTCCTACTGGTTTGCTTTTCCAAATACGTGTTGCTTGCAGACTTAAGCAAAACAGCTGCGGCGGAACATAAAGCTTCAGCACAACATGCAGAGGGCGAGGCTTCCAGGTCTACTCCTACTTCAGCAACTGCAGCATGCTCACATCCACTCAAACGCTCCTGTAAAACATGCTCATGCAGCTCGTGTTCCCCCACATGTTGCTTCACTGAAAATGCTCGCAGCAAAAACTTAAAAGGTGTCACCTCCAATGCTCTTCCTACGTTGGGCGGTGCCTTCTTCTGCACCTTATCCACTTCCATCGCGTCGTCGTTCGGGCTCCACCCCGGCTTGGGTGAGTCCCCTTTGCTTCTTCTTTCTTTCGGCTTTGCCTTGGTAGGGCCAATCTCCTTAGCCAACGCCCACCAGCTCCTGGCTTCACGAACCAAAGGCACCCACATCGAGGAACCTCGTTCCGTCTGCTTCACCAAGCAGCTTGCTCCAGGCTCTGAGGTGAGCCAGGTATTCCATCCCGAGAGGGACGCTTGCCAAGAACTGACTACGTTGAAACCAATCTTGCAAACCAAGACCTGTTGAAGCACTACGGGCCCCAACTTCCCAAACTTCACCCGAATGTCAACCAACTTGACACACTCCATGGGCGTATCGCTAGCACTCATGAGCACTGGAAGAGGTCCCGAATGCTCCTTGACGACTTCGTAAAAACCCAACGCACTCTCTGACAACACGTGGCAGGTGGCTCCACTATCAATGAGCCAGGCGAAAGAGCTATTCCTAGAGGAGGACTGGTTCAGTCTCTCGATCTCTCCGTTCGTCATGGTGAGACGAGGGGGCTCAGCTTCATTGGGCTCATTAGTTCTTGTCCCCGGACCCAAGCCACTCAGATGATGAGACCGCATTGCCATCACCTGATCAGACTGCTCGTCTTCCACAGCTCGGCCCTTGGGCTTTCCTTTGTTCTTTGGCTTCCCCTTGGGCTTTCCACCCTTTCCTTTGTCTGTCTTCCCTTTGCCTTTGCCCTTCCCTTTAGGGCTCTTCTCTCGATTCTTGGAACCAGAAGGCTTTCCACCTTTCGGTTCATCCCTCTTCTTCCCTTTTCCAGGGTTCTTGTCTGGGCACTGCCAACTCATATGGCCCGATTTGCCACAGTTCCAACAGAGGCCACGCTCCCCAACTGCATTCAGCGAACCAGCATCACACAATCGGGTTTGCTCCTCGTAGAACCGGATGCTTTCAACCAGTTCCTCCCAGCTCCCAGACTTCCCATGCAGGACAACGTAATGCCTACACTCTGGGCTGACCGATTGAAGAAGAAGGGTGGACCGATCAGATGCTCCCAGCCTCAGTTCAGGGAACCGATGCAGCTTCTGGTCTACTTTCCCAAGCTCGTCCTCAAGGAAGCGGACGCAGTCAAGCGGTCGCTTGTACGAACTCGCCTTCGAAGTTAGGCGAAGGGCTTCATCTCTCACAGCAATGGCCTCCATGCGAGAGACAATGCTGAAGGTCTGGTGCATTTGACGCATTACCTCATAACCACAAGCAGCTTGTCCTTGACGCATCGACGTGCTTCTCACCAGTTCCATCCCACGTTCGAACTTCTGCAGACTTTGTTGCAGGTAGTAAAACAACCTTGCCGAACGCGATGCTACCGGAACTGCCATGTCAGACTGCTTGATCTCACGGTCATGCGTCATTGCCTGGCGCAACTCATTGACATAGTTGTCGTCTATCAACGCCAGCCAAGAAGCAAGCACCTCGCACCACCGATGGTACTCCTCCAGCTCTCTCACACGCCCTTTTCCCATCGACACATTGTCGATGAGCGGCAACGCTGGCAGATACTTCTCTGCACGGTTACTTCCAACATGCAGGTTCTGTGACGGCGCCGGTGGAGGAGCAGAAGCCTTTGCCGTGGGACTTCCAGCAGCTGCTGCACTTGAAGCACCCCCAAATGGGTTGCTCACAGCTGCCGACAATGCTTCCTGCTCACGTCTCCTTCTCTCGTCGGCCTCCATCTTTGCCACCAGAACTTGAAGTGTCTGTTGCTGATTCTGCATCATCATTTGCTGACTCTGCATCATCTGGACCATCATCTGCTGGAGTTGAGGGTCAAGTCCGACGACCGTGGCGGGTCCTCCCGCTGAAGCAGAAGCTCCAGTGGGTTGTGTTGGCGGTTGTTGCCCGTCCTGGGCACCACCGGGGCCAAACAAAGCTTCGTCGTCTTCGTCGTCAGGCACAGGGGTTGACAGCCCGGGGTCAGCCATGGCTTTCTAGTTTCTACGAGCGTGCTACACACGCTCCGCTACCATGTGAAAACAGCAGCAGCGCGCTGAACCCTCTTTTTCTCACGACTTGAGCCAAAGTCATAAGCCGGAGGCTTCGTCAGTGAAACTCTTTACACACAGGTGAAAACTCTGCTCTGCCACGTGTTCTCCACAGCCACAAAACAAACTCAAACGTTAGTGGGAGTTCTCGAGACCAACCCAACTCCACCTAAAGCAAGCAAAAACGTGCACAGTCACTTCTACAGCTTCCAGACACACATCCCTACAACTCAAGCACTTCAAAAAGGCTTTCCCACTTGAAGCAGCGCTCCCGTCGAGCCTCCAAGGCACAACTACGGAGTTCCTACAACTACACACACACAACTCTGAGCCAGCATGCAGGACAACAAAGTTAACATGTCCTTAGACAGGAACTTTCACAAAGGTGGAGGCGTCGGGTACTCGCAGGTCGAAGCCGCTTTTTCTGTCTTCCGCTACAAGACATGGGGTTCTTGGCCGAGCCGTGCCACAACAAAAACATTCAAGCCAAAAACATGCTACTGTACGTGATTGCGTGGTAAAAAGTCTCCAATGAAAAACAAAAACAAAACAACATTTTTTTTGGGGGGTGGAATTTAAATAAAATCCCTTCTCTCCTTGATTTTTCGAATAACGAAATACAAAAAACAAAAAAATCGAGGACGTAGAATTTAGAATAACTTCCCTTCTCTTCTTCTTGGATTTTTCGAATAATGAAATACAAAAAAAACAAAAAAGATTTGGAGGTGGAATTTAGCAAAGAAGCTTTTGCAACGCTGAATTTGGCGTTGGAACTGATGTCAAGAACTAAGATGTCCGGCCCGAACCTTCCAAGTTGCCAGTTCAGGAAGATTGCCTGATGGCTGGAGAAATTGTAAGAGTTTTGCGCAGTCTGCCGCCGGTCAGTCATGTAGCGTGCCGAAACGTGAAGTTTCTCTTTTACAGATGGTGTGTCCCAAAATCTCAACCTGATGGGTCTGGAGACGGAGTCCCGTAACCCCTTTGGCTCAAGTCTTTTGGCTCAAGTCCGTACCCATTTGGCTCAAGCTCGTAGGTAGTTGCCCCTCTGGGAGCCTGGAGGCTAGGTGTGCTGTGTTTGCTTTGTAGCTGGGGCCTCTCAGCATTGCGCAGTTCCTTGCTAGCGCCCGCTGCAAGAAGAATCTGGATTTTTTTGAATCTGGATTGCACCTTTTGACGGCTTGCAGCTAGCAACAAGCTTCTTGTTGTTGGGAACGCCCGCTGCCAACCTTTGCTCAGCCTTTTCTTTCCAGATATTGAGAACGCCCGTTCTCAATCGCATTTAATTTTTTAACGGCTGGGAACATCCGTTCCTTACGCCCGTTCTCTTCCACCTTTAATTTCTTAAACGTTGACAGCGCCCGCTCCCTTCCGTTTACTCATTTTTTGGTGTCTCTTGCACATTGTGCAGTACGCTGGGTTGAGTCCGGGACCCTTGCGAAAAATATTAGTGACATGGTGCCCGCTAGCCCTGCAGTGTTCGCCCTGCAGAGTTCGGGCGTGCAGGGTTGATGGAGGAAGTCTGGGGTTGCAACCTTAAGGATACGCCGAGGCCTTTGAACTTCGCGTCGGCGCAGCCATGCCATCACAGACTTTCGGTGCAACAAGCGACTACGTGCATTGCCTCGAGTCGTTGCATGTATTGACTGGCACCAACACCTCATTGCAAACACTTGTAGCACATTCATCAGAGCGGCAGTCCTTTGACTTGCCGACTAGCAACGAAACACGGAGGTCTTGCGACCTACGGACCTGGGGACCTACAGTCCTAGGGAACTTGCAGCCGGCACACTTGTCCTTGGGGGTTGCGGGTACGTTTAACCTTTAGCCTGTGTGGCTGAGGGTTGGGGGAGTTGGGCGTCTGCCGCTGCAAGCCCCTCAAGCCTCAAGTGTCCTTGGCCAAGAGCTTCTGCCTCAGCGGCAAAGCTCTAGCCGGCTGTGCTGCACAGAGCTACTCTGCTGTCAATGTTATTTTTGGGAGGTTGCTTAGACACTTTTCAAATTTCTTTGGAAGGAGAATGCCTATCTGCTGGGCGATGATGTTTTTGCTTCCACACGCAAGGCTAGCAGCTCATGTCGCGCTTAACTTATTGCAGGACTTCGCACCTGCGAACTACAGACTTCACGATACGAATCTGGAACTGCGACCCTGTAGCACCACATCATACACAGGAACATAGTCTTTAGGTAGAAATGGTTGACGGACGACTGTTAAACACCCAAGTGGCCGCCTCTGGAGAAACTTCTCCACCGCTGAGTTCAAGGACGGACGTGTGTTTCCCACCCACTGGCCTCCACAGGCAAAGACAGCGGCTACAGGGGCCCCGCGGTTAAGGGTTAAGGGTTTAGGGTTTGGGGCGCGCGAGCAGACTTGGTTTCAAGCTTACAAAGGTCAACACCGAAACCCTGCGCTAGGGACGACAAAGGCGGATGATTGGAAACCGAGCATCATCTCTTCACCCATGCGAAATTCCTGAGCTCATCAGGACATAGATGTTGCAAGAATCTGCCTTCACTGTCTCACATAGATGTTGCAAGAATCTGCCTTCACTGTCTCACACGACTCGGATGCAGCCAGGTCTCATCAGAACCTTCATAGCTTGGCAAGAATTCCAGATGACCATGGCCGGGCACAGTTGCTTTTGAAGCTGGGCGAGCTTGGCTGTGTCCACACCCATCTCGCGAAAAGCAACGCTGGCCTCTGCAAGGTGCGCTCGCACAGCCTGGACAACCTCTGGCACTCCTTTGCCACCAGCAAACTTTTGAAACTGCTTCGCGTTGGTAGAATTCCAATTGCTGGCCTTTCTATCTGTAGCTGTTGCACCCTCGTCAAGGCGTCCCAACCATTGAAGACTTCCAAGGATGTGCAGTGGCATGAGCTTCGACGCATCCATGTGTATGTCTTGAAGCCTTGGATTTGGCACATGGTTGCCTGCACCCCCGACCTACAAAAACAGCTGCAGCAAGCAAAAATCTGTTCGACCCGAACCCCGACTACTATAGTCGGCCACGAAGCACTGTGTCGCGTACCACCCATTTCTTCTTGTCAGCGGATGCAAAATGCCCCTGCAGATGCCCATCCAAGAAATGCCCGGCCATTGTCAGTGCCTTGGAGAGGCTAAACCTTGCCATGTCTTTGTTTGGCCGTATGACTGCAGTCTGTGTCTTTGTTGGCCGGGATTTAGACGCCGCGCCCAGCTGTCTCTTCGCAACTGTCCTTGAAGGGAGGAACATCTTGCGCTTGACCCCGCCCGTTTTCTTGAAGAATTTCACAAGTGTCGCAGCAAGGCAAAGCCCTTGCTTCGGTGCTTTTCGTGCTTCTTTCAGCACATATTTGGCCAACCTCAGTACACAATTTGAGTTTGTTGAATTCTGCGCAACATTGGACAGTGCGGCTTTGCCCATTCAATCATGCCCAGAAGGTTGACACAGACCTTCACAGCTTGACAAGCCAGGCGGCAGGGAGCTCCGACAATAAGCCACAAGGACTACGAAGCCCAGCTGTTCCCAGCATGGCAGCGCCTGATACGCGGCTACCTTCTGCAGAGCACGAAGACTTCGACACGAAGAGTCTCCACCTTAAAAGCAGGGACAGCTGTTGATTTCTTTTGAACTTTGCAGACTGCACTGACCACTCGAAGTTGCATTTGCACCCTCTACTCAGACCCTGTACTCAGAAACGGGGGAAGGGTGGCCTGTTTAAGTGTTTCGGATGACACCGGCTGAAGGCACCCCATGCGCGTTTTCTCACACCACGCTGGCTTTCGTGGCCCTGGGACTAAGGACCAGAGGGCCGGGGGACCTAGTTGATTGGGCTGCAGACCTCCAGGCTCCTGACGCAAACGCCTCTGCACCTTAAGGCTTGCGAATTGAACCCGGCCACGCTCCGAACGCTGGAAGCGCGACAGGCGGGACAGCCCGCTCATGAGGACGACCAGACTTCTCTCATCTTCAACGAGGCTCTTACAAATTTTGTACTACAGTCAGGAATGGGGCGGCTAGAAAACTGCGACATGCCAGCGCAGCAATACTCAAAGCCCCCCTACAAAAGAGTACCCTCAACCTCATGCTCCTGAGTTTAGGAGCACGGAGCACGAAGCGACAGACCGCAATGCCTGGAGGCCGAAAAAACTCTACCGTAAACCCTAAACCCTAAACCCTAGACCCTGAACCCTGAACTTTAACTCCTAAAGTCCGGCTGAGAGCTCGCTACCACCACGTGAGAGCCCGAAGCTGTCCTGTTCGAGCGCTAGCAAGCGACCTAACCCCACGCCACGCGCAGCCCAGGTAAAGCTGAAGCTGCTGAACGCTTTGGCAAGATGAGCGCCCAGCCGTGCTCGTCAGGCGGTCGAGCCGTTCATTGTCAACAGTTCAAACCCTGAAACCAAGCACTGCGGGGAATGTTGCAGAGACTGTAGCGGAAGCCCCAAAACTGTATGAGCTCTTGCAAAGCGACATTCGCACACCGCCGGTACAAGTCAAACATATCTAGGAAAACACTAAAGCATCCGCGGCACTGTCCTTGGTCACTGCGTGCGCAAATGAGCCACGCAGAGCTTTCAGAAGCGTCCAGGGCTGGCCACAGCTAACCAGAATTGGGTTGGAGCTTCCCAAGATCCGCAGCGTCAACGGACCATTCGCAGACACCTCCGACAGTACAGGCCCTAAACGTCAGAATCACTCCCTGTTTCAAACCCACACAAAAACTGCGAACCATTGGCCTTGCGAATGGACACACCGCTTCGGTACATCAAATACGCGGCCAGAAAAGCCTGGGAACGGGCAGCCAAGAAGCAGAACAATGTCTACTGGTGTGTCCATTGGATTTTTGCCTTGCAGTTCCGGGTTTGGGTTGCTCTGGCGTACGTGTGTCAGTGTGGTCTTTCATATCGCTGTCGCCCTGCACCCTGAACCCGAACACTTACTCTGAAACCCTAAGCCGTAAACTGCAAATAAGCCCCAAAAACGCGGCTGAGATCCACATTCCCAAAAGCACTACCGAAAATAAAGGTACCCTTTTTCGGGGTCCCATTAAGGGGAGTCTTCTATCGGGGGTATAAAAGGGTACCCCTATTTTGGGAAACACCCATATGCCTTGATATGCTTCGAGAACGGTGTTCGGACTTTTTCAGACCCGTGTGTTCAGAGGCTGCCCGGCCAAAACCCCCTACTTTGCAAGCACGCTGGACTCTCGACTGTCAACGTGAGAGAGAACCCCGAGCCAAAACATTGTACCTCTTCGTCGAATGCCGAAGCTCAAGCCCTTTGCGAGCATGTTGTCGTAAGACGACCAAATGCAGGCAGCAATGGTAATAAAGACCCTCTCTGTGTCAAAGTGTCCTTTCAAAAGACCTGCTGCTCGCACGACTCGACTACACGGCGTGGAGTGTTGGAATGCGGTTTCCAAAGGCCACTTGGGAGATGGGTCGATCTCTGAGAACCCCAGAACAAGAACAAGCAACAAAAAAAATCAACTAAATGCATACCGCCAGCAGCTCACGCGTGGCCCACTCTGGGGCTTGCAAGTGAGGGTTTAGGGTTTAGGGACTCAAGGCTAAACCCTAAACCCTAAACCCTAAACCCTAAACCCTAGACCCAAAATCCTAAACCCTAAACCCGCAACCCTAAACGCCCTAAACCCTAAACCCCAAACCCTATAAACCCTAAACCCTAAACACCCTAAACCCTATAAACCCTATAAACCCTATAAATATAAACCCTAAATTAAACCATTTCTCCAGGATTGCTTGCTATTGCTTGCTTACTCTTGCCCAGGAACCGTGGCCACAGAAAATTGGTCTGCGCCTTTCGTCATGTCGCGGAAAAGAAACATAGCCAACGCCACCAGCTTCACCCCTCCCACGCAGGCTTTGACGGCCTGCCAGCAAATATAATAGCTGCACTGGCCTTCTCCAGTGCACCTGATCATGTAGGTACAGTACGTTGTAAGAATTTGAAAGTAGCATCTCCGAATGCACTGTGATTCTATCGACAACAACTTGGGATTAGCTGCAGCTCGAATGTTTGCTGGCAGCTTGAAATAACCTGGAACACAAAGCAACACCCTGCGAATTCGAGCGCGAGCCGGCAATTTGTTGGCCACCGGGATGACTGCAGCAAGGGCTTCTGTCGCAGAAGTTCCCTGGCGACACAATTGTCACACGTCTGGCACTTTGCTACGAACGTTGCGAAACTCTGGGGCTTTGTGCAGCTTGAGAATCTTCGCAGTTGAGACACTATTCAACACCAAGCAGCGAGACAACAACAGCAGCTGAAGCAGGAAGCGGCCCGGACTTCGGGGAGCTCGCCATGCCTGTCAGCTTACAGAATTTTCTATGGTTGAAGACCTAATTTAGAGCAGTTCTCATTGAGAATTGCAGAAAAAAGCTTTGGGATGTTCTGAACCACAAACCACAATAAAAAGCCTAATGCAAATTGCCAGAAAAGCAGTTTCCCAATTCTGAAGAAGCTGGCGAGGCCTCCAGTGAGAAGAGCACACGGTTCAACTTGCCGTAAGAAAAGTGGCAGGAGCCTGCACAGTGCACAGTGGCTGCTGCTGAAACCCATCCATCGTAACCCTTGCGAAGACATCTGATACTCCCGGGACCACACGCTGCATGTGTGCAAAAACAAGAGGTGTCGCAGCTTCTTTTGCGCATTACGTCGCAAATGCAGCGCTAGCACGTCTGCCAATATATGGCAACTCTGGACCCCTATTCCAAGAGTTGTTGCGCCTGCAGCGCATGTGATGCCTACTTGCAGCCTTCTAAGCCCGCCTTGCACTCGGCTACGCTTGGCCACTGGCGCTTTGCTGCCGTGGGATTGCAAACTTTAAGAATGATTCCCTGCAGTTGACGGGCGAGCACAAGTCGCCCCCGCAACTGCCACACTCTACCCTCAGCTGTCTTTGGCAGCTGCTGCTTGCACAACTGTGCCCAATGAGTGCACCAGAGACTAAGCGTCTTCTCACAGTACGGCTTCGCGTTGTTGGCAAGTGGCGACATCAAAGAAGTTCCGGTAGCAACGTTGTAGATGGTGCATCCATAACTCCACATGTCCACGCCTGGCGTCAGCATTCGATGTAGCTTTGCTGGCTCCTTTTGTCCATCAACAGCAACAAGTTCAGGCGGCCGGTACGGAACCGTCACATATTGCGCAAACCTCAGTCTGCTCGCCGGCACATCTCGCCTCTCGGCCATGCCGAAATCGCAGAGCTTGACTAGCTGAAGTTGCTCGACCCAGAGAATGTTTGCAGGCTTCACGTCCAGATGCAAGATCATTGCTCGGTGAACGAACTGCAAGGCAGTCTTGAGCTGGACTGCAATGGTTTGGACGGAGCTGCAAGGCATTTTCGGAGAAGCATTCAAGGTCTTTGCCAAGCTGGGCCCGCAGAAATCCATGGCAATCCAGGGATATGGCTCTGAAGCAACGTCATAGTTATGGATGGTCGCAAAGAACGCCATCTCCGAGTGCAAGAGGTTGGCAACCATGTGTTGGTACAAAGCCACCTCGTGCTCTGCATCCTCCCCGGCATCCCGGCCATAGAAAGCTTTCACAGCAAGCTGCTGGCCTGTCATGGGCGACTTGGACTTGTAGACCTTGCCATAGCTCCCACATCCGAGCCGGACGTTGCCTGCTTGCGCAGACTCGAAGGGTTCCAGCACGTACGGGCCAATGCAGGCTGGCTGCTGCGGTGGCTGCGCTGCCGCACCTGTGTCGCACGGGCGTTTCCCCGTCACAAAAATACCATGCGAAGCAAGGCCTTCTCGCTGGAGCCCGAACTCCTCAGCGCTCTTGACGCGGTAGCGGTCCTGCTCCTCCTTGGGCAACCTTCTCCAGACTGCCCCCAGACGCACCAGCTCGGCTTTATGCTCAGCTTGGGAGGCACCTTTGCGAACCATGGAGTTCTCCTTCACAAACAGGGCAAAGCAGCGGCGTGCAACCGGAGCAGCACCTGCTTTCACAGCTGCGCCTCGCGCTTTGGCTGCTTGCGTCTTTCGCCCTGGAACTTTCTTTTGGCGACACACAGCCGCAGCCGCCTTCGTCTGCGTCTTGCTCCGCAGCCGATGCGTGACGGCAGTCATGGCCTGGCCTAGCGTGGGACCTCGGGACCTGCGGACCACGCTCCGTAATGGCTGCAAGACTAGGAACGACAAAGTTGACAAACGCACTTGCGCAGCCTAACCAGCCAACTGTGACTCTGCTGCAGCACTGCGCGGCGTACCATTTTCAGCTGCCTGCAGTTCTGATCAAAATCGGCTCCCTGAGCACACTTTGCTTGGCTTGATGAGAGGGCGCGGGCCTTGGGACCTCGGGACCTCGGGCCTCTGCGCTCCCCGACTACACAGCATCGCTCGGACTTGGAGGCTCGAGGTCTTCTTCATTTTCATCCTCGCCGACAACAAGGCTGTCCAAGATGTTGCCGAAATGCTTCCTCACCGACTTTGCACCTTCCTCCGAGAAGAGCGTTGATCCTTCCACAGCCATGAGTCCGCAGGCCGCCCTGTCGGCCACAGCTTGCACCCAGATCATGTGCTGCCTGTTCAAACCTAGGACAAACAGTCTTTGCAAGCATCTACACGCAAAAGCTGCATGCGTTGCGCAACATGAGGACTGCCAGCTAAGGACACGACAAAGGCCATGGTAGAGAACGCCGGCGCCCAGGCACGCCTCCATGAGAGCCCCCGCGCCTGCTGTGATGTCGAACACAGCATTGGCCTTGTAGTCTGCAAGCAGGGCCGTGTAAAAGTCGATTGGCTTGGATTCTTGCCAGAACAACGGCACATCGTCTCCGTGCACGTCCGACCAATCCTCCGGCACCTGGTCAGTGTCCTTCTCCAAGATAGCCTTCTTCTCAGTCTTGGAGATGAGCGGCATTTGAGCGCACGGTCGATACTTGACGCCGCAGTATGTCCCCTGGTACGTGGACGCCTCACCACATGCGGTGAAAGCTTCCCTTTTCTGCGCGCGGACTTTGTTGCGCATGACTGGGAAGCGAATGGCTGCAGACTCCACTTTCTTTGCAGAGAGTGGCACCCTCCGAGTGCGGCCAGCCCTGGGAGGGCAGCCTCCGGTATACACAAGGGTCACCTCCTCGGAATGCGGATCCTTCAAGATCTCCTCCTGGCAAGAGCAAGCACACGGAGCAGCAAAGAGTGCGTATGGAATGCAACAGATCCTATTGCTTGAAAACCGACATCATGCAAGCTTCCCAAAGGCCGAGCTTCATTCAAGCTCCTGATCTCACGCATCCGTCCGTCGAACAACATGACGAAATCTTCAGGGCCACTGATTGTCCTGGAGAATTGGCAGATCTCCTTCCAAAGCTTCGAGTCTGGCTTGGTCAACGTGGCCCAGGGGGTCGCAGTGTCTTCCGAAAGCAGGTCTGCGGAGCCGACGACCAAGCGATGCGACGTGTTGAGGGAGCCTTTGTGACTGTAGACTTTTCCAGCAGCGCGGAAGGCGGCCAAAATTCCGTCTTTGGTCCACTGGCTCGGGACAGAGAAGGAAACAAATTTCTTTCTCTCTGCTTGGACGGCCTTCCACTGGCGTGCCCGTTCGTCCTCGTTGATATTCTGTGGATCATTCAGCGACGACAGGAGGCTGGGAGCTGGCGCAGCGCCGGTCAGGCTGACCACTGACTTGGAGTTTCCCTCAAACTGTGTCAGCACAACGCGAAACTCCTTGACCAAAGAGCAAATAAGTAGATTTCGATGCAATCGGGTGTCAATTTCATCTCAACGGGTGTCGAGCCAGGCAACAGATTACACTAAGAACTGTGGAGGGAGGACAGAGCAGACGTATCAAAAAGGACTTGGGTAGCCTTGTTTTTCTGTAAACATCTCCGCCGTTCATGCTTGCAATTCCGACAAAGAAGGGGGGGGGGGGGGTGGGGGCAATCCCTAAACCCTAAACCCTAAACCCTAAAACCCAAACCCTAAAGCCTGAGTGGGCATTCTGTTTGATGCATGCTGGCATGCTGTCAGAGAAGAACCCGCCGGGGGAGCTACCTCTGCAAGTGGCCTGGCGGCTTGGCGTCTCTTGGGATTGACGGGATTGTGTAAGCACCCAACCTCAACCCTCAACTTGACCCTCGCCCCAAAATTCGAGTAAATAGACTAGGCTACGATGAAACCCCAGCTTCCCTCCTTGTGAAGCCTCGAACCCACCCCCTAACGCTGGTAGCACTAGGCTAGGATGCTGCTTGAAACCCTACCTTCCCCCTTGTGAGGCCTGAAACCAACCCCCGCTTCCCCCTTCCTGATAGCAATAGGGTAGAAAGCCAGAAAGCCTCATGAAAGCCTAGCACCTGCCTCAAGCCCGCCCCTGAATCCTGCACTTGGCAGACACTCGTCCGGCGCCGGGCTTAAAGAGAATGAGTGGGTTTAGGGTTTAGGAAGTTTAGGGTTTAGAGCATGGACTGAAATGCACATGTGCCACTGTTCAAGTGGCGCCACTGGTCAAGTGGCATTGACATGCACATATGCCACTGTTCAAGTGGTGCCACTGATCAAGTGGCTTTGACAGTCATGCACATGTTTTTCGATAACTGTTCAAGCGGCGCCGCTGCTCAAGTGGCGAGAAAATTCTTTTCGAAACAACATTATTTTACAATCAGGTCCAGACTTTTTCGAGGTGAAAAGAAAGCGTGCGAGACACCCGTGAACTCACATAGTCTTATAGCTTTTTATGGCACTTTCCACACATCGCCTATATACATGTGAAGTCGTCAAGACTGCAAACAACAATAATCCTGAGGCTCAGTCCCTCCCTCCCTCCACTTGAGAAGCAAAATATATCAACAAACTTCCGTGAAAATTCAATCTCAAGAACACTTTCTGGGGCCGGGGGTTTGTTGCTCTGCTTATCGGGGGGCAACAGGTACATCTCGCCGAAGACGCCCCGAGAATAGCGTTTGGTGAAGAGCCGGTTTCAACTCACCAATGGAAACCTATGCATGAAAGGCTATAAATCATTAAATTAAGAAAAGTTCTATAAAAGCATAAACTCAGATACCCGACCAACGCTTGGAGGCCTTGCTGGACCCTGAGTTGTCAAGCCAAGCTCCCTGAAACGCCAAGCCGTAGAAACATAGTATGTGGAAACACCCTTGCTTCCTCGGCGTCCGTGCCTGTGACAAATCTCAACAGTAACCACCCAACACCCCTGATCAACCTTAACAATGCAATCAGATGTGGACCCGTCGGGGGAGCTACCACTCAATATCAGCAAGAACTTCCAAGAGGCACGTGTGCTCAGGCACTTGCTCGCCGTTGTCGTCAGGAGTTTCATTGCTCAAGGGTTTGGGTGTGAGGATATGTAAGAAGTAGTTTGGCATTTCCATCAGAAGGAAATCAGACCCTTCAGCAATGGAACCAGACCCCTCAACAGCCATGTAAGCTAGCTCACACAATAATCTGGCACCGAGGGCACCTCGGTGCCAAACTGTAACTGTGAGCAAGAAGCTGGCAACCTAGGACACCGCTCTATATCGGTTTAGGGTTTCGGGTTTAGGGTTTACTCGTCTTGGCTACAAGAAGCCAGTTAGCTTGTGGCTTTAGGGTTCGGGTCTGGGCTGCCAGGATTTGGGTGTCGTTAGGCGGTGGCACCGAGGTGTCCGGGTCACAGCCTCGGCAATAGGGGTTGGGGGGGAGGCTTCGGGAATGTAAGGTTTCGGGATCAGGTTTCGGGATCGTGCCACGGAGGCGGCCTCCGTGGCATGAACCAGAACACAAGCTAGTGGGTTTGAAGCGGCTAGGTGCTTGGTGGCTTCGTGCTGCAAGGATGTACGTGTATTTGTTCAAGGTGCCACTGAGGCAGCCTCAGTGGCACCTTGAACAAATGTAAGCAAACATGGAAAGCATGAGAATGCAAGCAGTAGCCATGCTGACTATTCAAGGTAAGCTCCTGAACTGCAGGTTCACAATGGTCTAGGGCTTCTTCCCAAGCTTGAACTCTAGCCTCTCGCCTATCGCCCTCTTTCAGACTCTATCAGAAAGCGCCTGATGCCATGAAGATTGATCTTCTTCCGAGGTCTGCGTCCTACACACTGCCAGCAGACAATTAGCCGGGGCCCAGGTCTTCTAAAAGTCGGGTCTACCGCACTCCCCGGAGATTTGTTCGGGGTGTGAGTTCTTGAGTGTGTCTGGGCTCGTAACTGCTTCTACCCGTCCCCGTGCCAAGGCTAAGGGTTGAAGTTGTCGTGAAACCCTGAAAAATGCCAGACCCCCCTAAACCCGGTTTGACCAAACGCCCGTCGCTGTGTCCCCTGATTCTGGTTTCGGAACCTTGCGCGTGGTTGTGCGTCTTGCGGGCCTGTTGTGGAACGCTGGACATCGAAGAGTTGGGATGCCCTAGAACCAACCCACGATCTCTTCGAACGTGGTGGTGTGGTCCCTGGCTCCAAGACCACCACGTCTTCCACCTAAACCCTAATCCCTGAGCCCTGAACCCCAGACCCGAAACCCTAACCCTAAACCCAAACCATCAACCCTTCACCCTCAACCCCAAACCCTAAGACACTGCCTGCTATGGCAATTAATTCGAAGGCCTGAGCCTTGAATCCTGTAAATAGAATCTAAATAATCTAGAAACCAAAGACACACCTATAGACCACTGTAAACACCCTGTATAAATTCGAGAGTGTCGAGCACTGCTCTACGGCCAACCCTAAGCCACCCTAGCAGAAACCCTAAGACTCATAAACTAAACCTAAACATAAACCTCCCTCGCTGTGCTGCCATGGACCGCGTCGAGCAGGCTGCAAGGGTCACTGCCGTGCAAGCGTCCAGGGAGGCTGCGGGCCTCTACCACAAGGACGGCTCGCGGATCCGCCGCGAGGGCAGGAGGCCGCCAAAGCGAAACTGGTTTGTATGTTACAGAATTTTTTGAAAGACTAGCTTTGACCTAAGCCTAGCCTTTGGTTCAGGTTATTATTTTATGTGACCTTATTTCTGATCCCACACATCCACCGAGGAGCCCGTCTAGCCCTGGCGGCAGCGGAGGAGGCTCGCGCAGCGGCGGTGGCTTCAAGAGATATTAGCACAGTGTGCTGTTTTTTTGGATTCTTTATTGGCAAGTTGTGGGGTTGGGGGGGTGGGGGGTGGGCGGGAGACAGTGGACAGGGAGGGGGGAGGAGGGACCCGCCCAAACAGCCCAGCCCCAAAAAAATCGGTTTGCGTTGGCTTCTTCTTTTCTGGTCTCCCACAGCCCCCAAACAGCTAACAGCTGAGTTTCAAAAACTCGGTTGTTTGCATTGGGGGTATTGGTGTAGTTTAGAAGTTTTCAAATCTGGCCAAACGCAGAACGTCTATGTGCGTTTTGCTCTTGTCTGCAAAGAAACAAGACCTGGTTTGGTTTAGAAGTTCAGAAATCTGGCCAAATCCAAAACGCACATCGGTGACGTCTATGTGCGTTTTGCTCTGCAAACTTTCCTGTTGGGTTCTCAGCTGAGGAGCCCCAGGCCGAATTGTCGGTTTTTCAGGAAAAACCCGAGATTCCGCCCAAGGCGAAATTGTCTGATTTTCAGGGAAATCACGAGATTCAGCTTCTGCCTTCAAGATCAACCCCTGAGATCCATCCAGGCAAGTTAGCATTTTGCTCTTGTCTGCAAAGAAACAAGAATTGGTTTGGTTTTTCAAGTTTTCAAATCTGGCCAAATCCAAACGCACATCCGTGGTGTACATCTTGCCACCCCCTGGCTCAAAAGGCAGATGTTTGGGCAGTGGGAGGTCTTCGCTTGCCCAAACCCGTTCCCATTTTGGCGTCAACAATTCACTGAATTATTGACATGAAAACCAACGACCCCCCTAAGCCCCCCGGCGGGGACCCCTGCAGTCTCCAAAGGAAGGTTTGGGAAGTGGTTGGCTGGGGGGCTTTGCAGGGAAGGGGGGGTCAGAGGGTGTGGGGGGGGGGGGGGGGGGGGGGGGGGTGGGGGGTGGGGGCTGACGCGCAGGTGCCAATTGAAGAGGAACAAGTCGTTTGGGGCAAACCCAACCCAGAATAGTTGGGTTTGGTTTGGGGGGGGGGGGGGTGGGAGCGGGCTTTGTCGGAGGTGGAGGTGACGTGGATGTGGCTTTCAAGGCTCTAACGTAAGTTGACCATTCAGCAGACACCACTGAGGAGGCCTCTGTGGCAGAAGGGGCAGCCGAGGCCTCCATGGTGCCAGGGGCAGCCGCTCAACTTTGGCTAGTCCGGTTTTATGGGTGTTCTAGATCTTCCTTTACCAAACTATGTGGGAAGCCTTTAAAACTTTCTTTTCAGGGGCTTAGCCTTTGGGACCACTGAGGATGCCTCAGTGGTCATAGCAGGGCACCCACACTTAAATCCTGGTTCTAAGTTGATGGCTTTTTCTAAACGTGCTGGGGTTCGGGTCTTCTGGCGCTTCCTTGCCTCTGAGGGCGCAGTTGATGCCGCCTCGACGGTACCAGCGGTAACATGGAATCATGTGAGAAGGTTTTTTTGTTTTCTGGGGCGTAGGCATTATCGACCACTGAGGAGGCCTCAGTGGTCTTAGCAAGGCTTTTCGTTATCGTGAGTTCCCCTTCCAAGGAAGCAGCCAGCCCGGTGCAGGACGCATTCGATGCAATGCTCGCTGAGGCAACATGAATAAATTCGAGAAGCTTTTGTGTTTTTCACGGTGTATAAACACTCAAAGAGTGGAGATCGTCGGGTTTCGAGTTGG